TTGGCCGGTCGAGGGAACTCAGGAGGGAACTTGGAGCAGGAGCGGGAAGTGCTTGGAGAGGTTGGGATGCTGCTGGGGTTTTCTCTGCCTGTTGGTGCTCACTGCCTTCTCCTGCGCCCCAGGGTGGGTGGAATCCTGCTGGGAGGGGGGATGCACGTTTGCGGGGAGCCCCAGTGCCAGTGGAAGCTGCCTTGCTGGAGCGTGGGAGCTGCTCCACGGGGCTTGGCTGGTGAATTCCCTGAGCATCCCAGGCTGGGAGCTGCAGCTCCCAGAGCCTTGCTGGAGCAGGGAGTGTGTGGCTCGGAGACGAGCAGGAACCCCCAACCCCATCACAAATTTGGGGCTTCATGGGGGTCACCATGCTGAGCCAGGCTTGGACCCCCAACCCAGGCTGTTCCCAGGGCACTGGGGGGTCCTCCAGGGCTGTGCTCGCCTGGGTCCAGGAATGATGGATCCAGGATTGGGAGGGGGAGGAAGTGCTGAAGAGACGTTCTCGTGCTAAAAATGACACGGAAAGAGAGTTTCCCCGCGGTGCCCCCGCGCAGAGGGGTCTCTGGGAGCGTTCCCGAGGGGCGCGTGGCCGCGTCGCTCCGTTAATGCGAAGTGACGTTTAGTGAATCCTCACCAGATGGTTGGCGAGCCCGAGCTGTCACTCACCACAAAAACCCCGAGCAGCCCCGGCCCGGCCATATGCGCCGCGTCCGCCGCGATTAACCTCTGCCGGCACCAAAAAAAAGGCCGCGGCGGGGGCTGCCAGGGCCAGGCCGGGGTGCTGGGCTGGGGAATTGCCAGCTTTAGCTGCTCGTAGGTGCTCTGGGAATATCGTCTTTCCCCTTTTTTAAGCTCACGTGGGAAGGCTCGGCGTGGGCAGACCTGGCAGCTGGAGGGGATGCGGTGATGCTGCATGGCAGCTCCCAAGCAGGATGGCACAGAGAAATTTTCCAGCTTGAGGAATCCCCTGAGCCCAGCGTGCCCAGCTTCAGCTCATCTGCATCTCTGTGCCAAGGTGCATCCTCCTGCCTCAAATGCAGGGACATTTTTGGGGGGAGCAATCACTGGCTGTGCCTGGCATCGCTCACTCTCTGTCACATCCATCCCTGGTCCTTTGCTGGACATCTCCAGCTGTTCCCAGCCAGGGCTGGACTCCCCCATGACACATCCCTGTCCTCGGGGTGGTCAGCGTGGGTCACCCTTCCTGAAGCAGCTGCAACCGACACCCCCTCTGCCTTTTCCCACACGCCTTCCCACATGCTGGACTTGCATTAATGCAGGCAGGATGAGCCCCCGGTCCATCGCTGGCCATGGGGCAGATGGCGGCAGAGGGAGCATGGAGAGGCTGCCAGGGCTTTGCATCAACCAGCTGGGAAATCAAGGGCAGATATTTGTTTCAAGCATCACCCTACAGCACAGCCCACCCAAAACTTACCTTGTGGTGTGTGTGGGGGGAGCACGGCAAGGAGCTGGGGCTGCTCCAGCAGAGGGGGAGGATGGATGGATGGATGGATGGATGGATGGATGGATGGATGGATGGATGGATGGATGGATGGATGAAGTTGTTGCCTCCAGGCAGACCGGTGGTGCCAGCTCTGGGCTCACAGGAACTGGATCCCGATGGCACCGCTCCGCAGAGCATGGCTGGAGGGTCTGCAGAGGGGTGGGGGGGTCATTAGTGACCCAAAGGGATCGCTGCCAGGGCGGGGGAAAACCAGGCTTTACGTTAAGCTTTACATGCAGATGTTTCCAGCCTACTCCCAAATTCCTCCTGGCCCTGGAAAGGTGCATGCCGGGGCAGGTCCCCCGTCCCATGGCTCAGCACCCTCCTGCCAGCTGTACCAAGCCCAACCATGTGCTGTTCAGCATCACCCCCACCCCACACCCCGCTCACTCCTCCTTCACTTGCTGTTCTGTCTCCCTAATTATTCCGGTCGCCTTCCTAATGAGTTGCAGGACGCGTATGTCAAGAGCAGCGGATCGAAGGTAACGCGCATCAGTCAGCGGCTCCGCGCAAACGAGCGGAATAATCCCACACCAGTTGGATCTGTCACCGCCGAAACCCGCTCGGAAATGCCACGTGGCGCTGGGAGGCATCGGGAGCGATGGGCTGTGACTCTTCGGTGGTTGAAGTTACCAGTCGGGCACATTTCTCTCAGTCTTTCTCTTCCACCTTCCTCCAGGCTGGCTGGGGAAGACAATTTGCAGCACTGGTGGGGGTCTGTGCTGGGGGGGGTCTGCGTGTGGGGCGCTGTGGGGTCTATGGGACATAGAGTCAGTTCAGGGACCCCCAACAGATGCAAAATGCAAGCAGGAGGTGGGAAGTATGATCCCATGGCGTGGTTTGGTATTGGAGTGGCACATGTTGGACATGGAGCTGTTGAAACGGGTCCAGAGGAGGCCACGAAGATGATGCGAGGGCTGGGGCACCTCTGCTCTGGGCGC